AAGTTATTAAGGAATCTGGGCAGCCCCGCCGCGGTAGTCTAGTAGCTAAGGTACTCGGCTTCTGACCCGCAGGTCGTGGGATCGAATCTTCGCGGCGGCGGCTGCATTTCCGATGGAGGCGGAAATGTTGTAGGCCCATGTGCTCAGATTCTGGTGCCCGTTAAAGACCCCTCTCCCCCCCCCCCCCCCGGTGGTAAAAATTTCTAGAGCCCTCCACTACGGCGTCTCTCATAATCATATGTTGGTTTTGGGGCGTTAAACCCCACATATCTATCAAATCAATCAGGGATCTGGGCGGTGGTCAGATATCCCTGCCTAGGTGTCCGCCACGAGCCGTTGAGCTCCGGCGGTGGCCTCAGCCCGTTGGATGGCCCAAACTTGGTCTTCGAGGGTATAGCTGAGCAGAGCACTCTCCAAGCGTGTTCGGCTCGAGGCTGCGTCCTTTCCTGGAGCATGTGTTCTAGGGTTGTCCTGGCCCCGCGAAACTTGCAGCGTCATACACGAAGCTCTCGGTGACAGACATAAAGATCACCTGGCTCGGAAACGTCCTGATCTGCAGCTGTCGCCACGTGACCACCTACATTTTGTTCTGATTTCTTAGTTTGGTGGCAGAAATTCGCACCTGGCCAATCTGTAATGCTGGGTAATGGAACAGTTGTTTTTTTTATTTCTTGTCCAAGTTTCTCAACAAAGATTTTGTTAATCCATGCACCAAATCGCTCAACATTACACTCTGCTGTTAGCTGCCCACCTGCCATGCACGACTCAGTGAAATTTCATACATTAGATTTTTTTTTTCTTTCAAGAAGCATGGCCGTAACAAACCGTCTCGTGTTAGCAGCATCTTGGGGGCCGCACCCATCGCTTGTTTACAAAGGGCATGTTGGGCACGAAGTGCGAAAATACTTGATATGCGGTCCTCTGGCGACGTCGGGTGGCGCGACATGACATTACGTGCAAACCAAAGGGGATATATTAAACTACGTCAAAAGGTACACAAACAAAGAGAAAGCCACCAACGTTAGAACAGATTTACAGCATTTACTGAGATCCGGGATAAACAATGAAAACCAAACGGTGCAGTACCAATCAACGCGACTTGATAATGAATTGAATGACACGTTACAGTTTGACGTCAGTCAAAGGACACATAAAAAGGAGACGTTAAAGAAATGTTGCCCAGAAAAGAAAAAGAAATAACTTATCACCACTATTAAAAAATTGGGTTACCTTTAATCTTCATCTTTTAGGGTTGAACGCCATGTGATATCCAGTACCTAGTGTGCACTTCAACCATTCAATGTGAATACTTTTACAGCGAAAGCTGTTATGCGATCACAATTAGGGTCTTGTGCAGCGCCATATCTATGGTTGTCCGCTGCCTCCGGTGTCCGTAACCATATCGCACGAAATCAGAAAAAAAAACAGTACCAATGACACAGTGGCGCTTGAACCAGGGTCAGCAGGTTGCCAGCCGAGTATTATACAACTCAGCTACGCCCGTGCTTGCGGCAGGTTGGCAAACTTGCCTTAGGCAGGCTTGATGTCGAGAAAGCAGTCGTGTTCATACGATTTATAAAGCGTTTTAAAACAGCGAAAGAAGAAGCAGTCGTCGCACAAAGCGAATATAGGGTAACGAGTGCGTCGTCCAATGCTCCAACCCATTACAAAACCTTGTTTTTGTTCAGCTATTAATTGTGGCGCATACCCACTGCAGGCATCATTCCTCATCGTCGTCAGCCATTTCATGAACAATTGGCACAAAAGTCCTCGCTATATGATTTAGCGGATACCACGCTTCTAGAAGAATGATGAAAAATAGCATAGTGAATCCCAGTCTACTTCCTTAAATTTTTTTTTTAATGTCACAGTCGATATCAAGTAAATGTGCTTGCAGCAGTTACCCAATAAGTGTTTAGAAAAGGCTCTGAAAGGCCGCTCTTCTAGCTTTCGTGGTGACTGTGCTGCGCCTTCCGCGCAGGCCTGGCGTATTTTTTATTGCATGATATTATTCGAGAAATTTAAATTTTGGACTACTACAATGTAATAGATAAATTTGAAAGTGGCTTGTGTCAGTAAAGCTTTGGCATATGGTTGCAATCTGTGTTATGGGTAACATACTTTGAACCACGAGCAATTATACGCGTGAAATGTTTTTGACCTTGCTTTGCACCTACTACTAGTCTTAAGGGAATACGCGCATGCAGTAACGCTGCGTCTTCTGTTATGGGTGGCCGGTTTTAAACCACGAAGTAGTTGTGATGATCACATGTTCTGACGCCCGATGGGAATCTACGTTTGTACCAGACATTAATACTGTGATATTACATGTCGTATTGTGGTGTGCTCAGATTTGGGTGCACGTTAAAGAACCCCCGGTGGTCGAAATTTCCGGAGGCCTCCACTACGGCGTCTCTCATAATCATATGGCGGTTTTGGGTGGTTAAACCCCACATATCAATTAATCAATCATGTTGTATTGGGAACCTTGTACACAAGGTATACTTGTGTTTTTAAATCACGAGAATTATTTTCTCTGTATTTCCAAGCAGGGAAAGTTATTTCCCGCTTATTTCTAAGCCGACGCGTGGTTGTGGGGTAGAACGCCAGCTTGACACTCAAATTATCTATTTGAAATGATATTATATTTTTACACCTTTCTCAATTTTTCGGTTACGGGCTGGATTATGATTTTTTCACTCACAACCAATGACACTGACGACACCGACGCCGGAAATTCTGCGAATCGAGCTCTTCCGTGCTATCGCGTTCGTATATGGTAGCAAGATCGTGCTATGAAATTTTCGCTATTGTTGACAAATTGTTTCGTTGTTGCTTTAATAACTGATAAGCACTGGTCTTTCATTGCTCACGTCCATGAATATACAGTGCATCGATTTTTCTGTTCCTCTTTTTATTATATATATGCAAGGAATGTGCATCCGCAGTGTGTTAGGTGTGTTTTGTGCTGCTTGTTTTGATTAAATACTCTTTTTCATGTGCGTTGTAGAGCGCTCATGTGGTTACGAAATACACCAATACTTTTTAGTTTGAGCGTATGTGCAAGCTATGTGTATCTGTGACGAACTTAAAGTGTAAAGGTTCCAGTCAGGAGCATGAAACACCTTTTGCTTCTGTTCGTCTTTCTTGTATTCTAAGAACTATAATAACAGTACTCCTGCCATGTCATCGAATTTTCAGACTCAGTAAAGTATGCTGACACATACTGCAGTAAGCTTTTAGGTCGTAATGCGTAAAAACATTGGTGCTTTTCATTTAGGTATTTGTGTGTGTATAAATGTTTTGTGCGTTCATTCGCGTGTTATAGTGTCTTGATGTTCAGATATAAATTCATTTTGTAGGATGGGAGATAACGCAAAATGAATCTCCAAATTTCGTAGAATCAAATATTTACGAAAAGTTTGCTCCCAAAACGCATTATTTCTGTCTAAAATAAACTCCCAGAAGTGCCCTGCGAGATTCAAAAACAATGAACGCCTTAAAAGACGTATACCCGAAATTATACGTTTATGATGGGCCAAGTTATCGTGGTGCTTTAACATCACAGTTTGAAAATAACGGCAGCGTGACACGCCGCACTCGATTCATTGGGCAACAATTGCGCGACAGCCTCAATGAGGCGAGGCACATCACTATTGGGGGAACTCGCGGTGATCGGGAGGTATTTCAGTGACGTCACTGGTAGAATGAAGCGCATGAACGAATCGTTTCGTTTGGCGTCTTTCCCGGGTTTTCAGCACTGAAGACCAATAACTTCAGTTAGCGCGCTATAATCAATTTTTTTACATTAACGTGACCATTCGATATATACTGCACACACTCCATCTTTCATTTATGCAATTAATTTTTTTATTTATTTCAATATACCGTGGACCATCATATTGGTCGAAGCAGAAGGAACAAAACAAGCATCAGGTGATTTGTAACAGCAAGATATAATAGAAAGCACGGATTCACTTAAAAAAGACGTCTATGTATATCGCTATATAACAGAAATAACATCTTTGAGTAACCGCAACAAGATTATAACCCATTTGAACACTGTACACCAAAGAGATAATTTTGCAGCGATGTACCTAAATTGTCAGTCAAAACATTCTCCTAAGGTAGTGAATTCCAGTCATTAAGTTTTCTGAAAAAATAACTGTGTTTGTAATCATTACTTCGTGTAAATATGGTTGCCAGAGATAGATCACAATTACAGCGTTGTTTTTTTTTTATCAGTTGCTTGTTGGACACTACAAGATATACATTTAAGGCAACTTTCCCTGTCATAATTTTGTATAAAAACCGTTACTCGAGTAATTTTTCCTCTTGTTTCAAACAAAAATAATTGTGTAGTTTAATTAACATGCTAGGTGAGTCGAGTCTTTGATGCTTGTTAAAAATAAATCTAACTGCTTTTGTTGTATTATTTCAAAAAGCATAACATCTTTTCTTGTAAAATGGTCCGATATATACTGCAGCGTACTATTGTTTAGACAGAATAAAAGTTTTATAAGCCAAAAGTTTTATGCTAGAAAGAGCACCTTTTAACTTTTTTTTGGGGAACCATAATCTACGAAGCGCCTTTGTACAAGTATCTGTTATCTGCGGTGTCCAGGTAAGATTGCTGCTGAGAGTAGCTCCTATAAGTATTTACAAATATTTACTTGTCTAACATAAAGGATATAGGAAAAAGCGACGGGAAGTTTTTTTTTCTTAATGCGTAACATAAGAGCCTTTTTCCTTTTCTGAATTAAGCACCCTATTTCACTTACTATACACCAGTCATCGAAGGCCATAAGGCCGGTCTGCACTACATTCCGATACGCTGTAGATTATATTTTTTGAATAAGACACACTCACCTGCAAAAAATCAAATGCTCACATCCTGCATGGGGCACGTACTCCATCTTGTGCTGCATAAGGCTATGCATGAAGCACTACAAAAGTGTCCCATTAAAAATGCACGTTATTTTCTGTTTTCCTATGCAGGCTCTCTGGCTGTTGCCCATTCACAGGCGCAAGATTCACGTGTCTATGCGACCACCTGCTGGTGACGTGCCAACTTGCCGGGCTGCGATGAACCAATGGGAATGTCGCGATGAGCCCCGCCGCCTACAGGACGTCCGTGCGAAGGCTGGTCGTGTACACAGCCACGCTGTGCATCCTTATCGGCTACGCCGTCTTCGCACCAGACCTGACGCCATTTGCAGGGACCGGCCGTTACGTGCAATCTCTGCCACGTCAGGTCTTCTCCGACGAACCGGAAATCGTAACGAGCCATCCAATCGCCGCCGCTGCATCGCCAAAAGATGACGTCATCAAAATTGGTGCCACGTTCAGGCAGATCCGGCCAGGACGGGGCAATGAACGTCGTGGCATCTACATCGCACCTAGGCGTGAAGGCGGTGATGTGATAAAGGGCTTCGGCAGACTACAAGCCGGTGCCAGTGCCGGAAAGCTACTGCAACGTCGAAGTTCTTCGAGACAAGCCAGTAGACTTACCTTGGCCCTGAAGACAACTTCCGCACCAACAGCAAAGCCACTACGCCCACCTGGATCAACGAACGATAGCAAAGGAAGGGGCGATGCCATATTTCGGAATATTAACCCGAAAACACCCTGGACGACTGACGACGCCCTTGATGCAGACACATATTCGTCTAACGAAGCCAACAACGGCGTGTACAACATTTCGAACGAACGGACGCAGTTCGTCGGCAGTGATCACGCGTTTTCATTTGGCACGGACTCTGTGAACGGTGGTAGTAGATTCGAAATGAGACGCGGAGTGGACGTCGTCGCGTCGAATATGCTTCAGGGTGGTGTTGGGGACGCCGAGCGTCCCGAACGGCGCCTCCCGCACGCCATCATCATCGGCGTCAAGAAGGGCGGCACCAGGGCAGTGCTGGAGTACCTGAGACTGCACCCGCAGGTGAAAGCAGCGGGGCCCGAGCCGCACTTCTTCGACAAGAACTACCACCGCGGATTCGGCTGGTACCGGTGAGTGTCAACTCCCCGTACATCTTTCTTCGAACTTTTCCCCACAGTGTAGATCACCCAGTAACTGCTGGCCAACGCTTCTAAATAGAGGAGCGCTCGCTGAACAGGCTGATCTTGGTTGGCCAGTCCTCCAAGTATACATTATGGCCGAGAGAATCAGCCACCCAGTTGACAAAGCGCTTACTATGTAAGCGGATACTTCATCGTCGCTATAGTCGCGGGCAACTTTTCTTGGCAATGAAGGGAAAGCCATGGGGTGGAGATCTTTCTGCACATGTAATCTTGCGCGAAGTAGCCCGGTTTCGCACGCGTCTCGCACCGATACGGAGTGGGGTGGCTTCGGGCAATCGACGCTGTATTTCGACAAAGATGCCTCTATGCGCTTGCGGTAAGCGTAAAAAGCGAGACTTTCACGCGTGTAAAAAAAGGTGCCGAGTGTCAGCATATCAGCCAAATAAATAGAAATATCTCAATAGTGCGTGCTGCGGCCGGCATCAAAAAGAGACACGCAGAAAATGAAGGAGTAAGTTTTATATCGTGCGCAGAAAATGCCTATGCAATTGTGGAACTAGATTCGTTCGTGGTAGGATAAATGCAATTTGTTTCTACCAATTTCACTGTCAAGAAACGTTGTCCACAAGTATGGCACGGCATCTAGCATCACGTCTACGTGGCATCACGTCTTTGCAAAGAAGTTTACGAAATGTGTTTCGGTGTGTACACTTCTATAGCACAGAATAAGAATACAAGGCGTGACTTGGACTTTCATGAGCTTTTTTTTTTCTGCCGCCTACATGGTGCGAATGCATGGCGTAGCCTTCGTGCCAGGACAACAGACCAATTTCACAAAGCTATTTTTCCTTAACTTTATACTGGAATACTGCTGTACAACGCATGTGTCCAATATTTAGATTAGGCGCGAATTGCACGAAAATCAGCCCCTGTTCACGAGAAAGGAAGGAACCAGACAGAATTTCGGTTGGCTATCCTACACAGGGGGATTAGGGAAGGGTACAAGAAAGACCAGAAAGAGAGAAGAGAAGGAAAATAGAAACGGAGAGACAGACAGTAAATTCTCTGCAGCGTGCAGAACGCCACCGAAAAGCTAGAATCGTGCGTAAGATAAACTTTCGGCCAACCCCTGTAAACGACGTATCAATTTATGGGTCATTCGGTCAACAGCAAACATTATTAAGGAGTGAAAAGCTTTGTCAATGACGCTGTATAAAATGAAGTATGATATGTTTGTCAATGCCCGAGATCTCGAAGGGGAGCGAAAGGCCCCATCACTGTGTTTCTAGAACCATCACAAAACTTCGCCAATGCCCCTCACTAAGTAAGAAAAACGAGGTTTTGTGGCGAAAGTTACAGACCGGGGATTTTCCAAACCCCGCACTTTACAGCAAGTGGCACCCTGCAGTTTTCCAGTCCCAGTGTAAATTTTGTGATGAGGTAGCGAATTCGGTCCACATGGTGTGGACATGTCCAAGTCAGAACGATGGTTCTCACACTTTAGAATCCTGGGAGGCCCTGCTCTGCAGCCCAGATTCCAACGTCCAGCGCGACATTATCAGTCAAGCCCTCGCTGCTGCTGCGTCCCAAGGGATTCCGGCCGACAGCAAGGGGCGACGGGCCATGCCTGAACAATTGACTGACTTTTTAATAAAGTTTTCTCTCTCTTTCTCGCCAATGCCCGCGGAGCCAGTAACGCTTCACAGACCGCGCCTATAGTTAGCGTCGAAGCCCTTCAAAGCCCCCGTGTTTTCCGAGAACGAGCTCTGTGTTCCGTTTGACTCGTTCTCGCGCTGGCCGCGTCGGGACCCGGCCCCGTCCTTGCTTTGCAAAACACCGCTCTCTTTGTGAATTGTGCGCATTTAAACACGCCGGTAGCCAGGCGCACACTTCAAACGCACCATCCTCTCTTTGTTTTTGCGTGCCGCCCACAAAATGGAGAGAGACAAGCACCATTGCCGAGCGAAACGAACTGTGCGACGTGTGGGGTGCGCTGCGGCAGTTGTCTCTAATTTGGGCAACACTCGGCGAGGTAAAGCAAGGGTGAGCCTGCTCGTAATTTCTGTGCGATCCATATAACTCGCTGAAAGCCAGCGCGGTGCCGCCTTAGGAAGCGAAGAAAACGTCGTTCGAAGGCATTGTTGTTGGGTCTGTGGAAATAGCCGCTAGGATTTGCGAATCTTTTTGTCCTGCTTCAATGGTCGTCTTGGCAAATTATACCGTTCGGCATCATGAATGACGCCTTCTGGCGTCACCAGCTGAGAACATTTTTCGTCACTGTAAATCCGCATGAGTTACGGCACCCTAAAGGAATTTTGCACGAGAAAACACAGATGCGTTTTCCACAGCACTGTTTCCCGGTAATTTTCCACGAGCAAACCGGGCTGTGCGTTCAAACGGTTGGCGCGCTTCAACAACGCCTAGTCTTGTGGAGTCGTCATTATGCCATTCGTACTGTCCATAATAATTTTCATTTGTCCAATTGTGCTGTGACATTTTTGTTTATCGTGGCACGAGTGTTTTAAAGTGGGATTCAAAGCTGACCTGACCTATACAGCCTTTTGTACAACCAGTCAAGAGAATCCTTCAGCTTTCTATATAAGGCCTCAATCTGCGTATACATAAAGCCATTCCCGGAAGATTAACATGTTTAGCGCTTCATGAACACTATGCTGTGTCCGAATCAGCAACACTTCGCGTTTGCAGTGGCTCATTATCGGTGATCAGCTGGCTTCGCTACAAAGGCGTGGACATCATGAGGGTTGGTTGAAATGTTCCCCTGCCGAACGAGTTCAGCGTAAAACGTTCTTTTCCATAATGTCGCAGAATCACACAAAACTTTATCTTCGCAAAGACTGTTCGCCGTTCTGGCTGCCATCTGCTCTTATATAACGCGACACGTTGTTGCAAACTTAGAGCGCTTGTTTATATTTAAGAGCAAGACTTTCATGACAAGAACAACGCAAGAAATGTTGAGAGCAGAAAGGCTCCTTCGGCGACGCAATCAGAGCCACAGGGCCCGTGTTAAAAAAATTGAGCCGATTTCTGGATATCGACGTGCCGGAAGTAGTATTCGATTGTGATTGCCAATTGCAAAGAGTGAGTACGACCTCAGAACCTGCATCCACAAAACATTACCCTATAGAATATTTTTGTAACAAGACTTTTTGTAGTCGTCGGCGACACGTTAGCGACGCCTGCTGACCGATGACAATAAGCACATAATTACAAGCTGGAAATTTTGTGGATTCAGTGTCTGGGTTCCAAAAACATTCGATGCATGCTAGAATATTTGGTGAGAGACAAGGTATACCCACTCGCAACGCAGGACATAATTTCAGTATTTTACCAGTGTCGATAATGTGTTGCCATTTACTCTACCATATAACAGTTCAGGGTAAGGATGCTGAGTTCCGAAAACTATTTAGCAGCGCGGAATTTTCGGTGCGTGCGTCGAAAATTTATGCTATTACTTGATGAGATGCTATAACTCGATAAAACGATGGCATTGGGTATTGAAGGTCTTATAGGCTAAAATCGTCACGTGCCGAGCACGACAGCCCGACACCGTGCCAATCATTGGTAACCAGTCTACGGTAAAGGGAAATTGTTGAGCAGAGAAGGTCGTCAGAACGTATTTCTTGCTTTAATCTCTGTTCGGGCAGGCAGCCAGCCAACAGCAGAGATCATTCTCGAACTGAAAGGTTTTTGAGTTCGGCTCCGGGGTCACAAATATTATTGTTTCGTGAGTGATCTTACAGACTCTGTTTGTTTCTCGTCAACACTGTTACACGTCCAGTATTGGAACCGGTAGGAAGTTCTTTTTATTACCAACAATTTAAGACGTGAAGAGTGTTCCGAAGAAGATAGGGGGTCTTCGGAGACATTAATTATACAGCTCTTTGTTGTCTGTCTCCTGCAGGCATTGAGCCGGGAACCTTCGACGGTTGCAGGTTCATCACCTGCCAAACCTGCAACCTTTTCGTCAATCTTTTCGTCTGCATTGCTTTCTTCTAATTCATATCACAATTACTACAGAATAACATCTCCTATACATTCCTCGGTGTTCTTGCCTGTAAGTTCTCATTGATATTGCGTCCTCCGTACTGTCGTAACTCGTGACACACTAAGACGTGGGTAAACCTCCACACGAAAGACTCCCTGCTATGTCCGCGAGGTCTCGTGTTTCGCAACAGTTATCGCCCGCATCCTCCTCGCATTACGCCACGTCAACCTCCCCGCATGCCGGGTCAAAGAGGCCGGTCGGAGTAAGAAGAGCGATGCCGCTGGTGCGGCCATTTGATCCCGCCGCCGGCGGGTCAAACCGTTCGAAAACTTTCAATCATCGAATAAGAGGCGACGCCAAGGGGCGTGCAGAAGCCGGCACATGTAACGCGAGCGGCCAACCAAAAGGAAGGCAAGACGAACGGAAACCTCGCGCACGAAGTATACAAGGCGTGAAAGTGATGAGCCGTCCGGCGGCAGCTGTATGGTGCAAGAACGCGATGAGCGCGCACAGAAGCTATCATCATCACGTTGATAGCACATTAACGAAGGCCTAAAAGAAAGAAGAAATAAATGAAATAACTAGTGCCGCAATTGGCTCGTATTACGTATAAGTCATACCAAGCGAGGGCTCGCTCATTAGCTGCCACGGCGCTGGAAGGTGTTTCCAGGGCCCGATAATTTTATAACGCCGCCGCCACCGGACTGAGGGTGCCCCAACAGCTGCCCCCATCACTCTTCAACACCCCCCCCCCCCTCCTTTGGCACGCAGCGCCCCCAAATTGCCATGGCCCCACGGGGAAGTCCGAGTATCCCGCCCCTTTTTGGCGCCCTCCGAATAGACCATCGAGCGACCAGGGTCACGACCCCGTCATGGTTAGCTCCGAGGCCTATGCATCACGCAACCATCGATGCTTTTTTGTCGTGAACGAAGCCACCTTGTTCCGCTGTAGGTGGCTCGCAGAGATGCATATACTGTATGG